CAAGGGTAGAATATAGCAGGTTTTGCGAACCATAGCTCCTGGGCTAAGGTAGCCCTTAGCCAGTTTTTGTGAATCAACCTGTGCTGTGGCAGAAGCATGCAGGAATGCCCATGGATTGTTTTCCTCTGCAGTGGGAAGCTGGATATTCTTTTGGAGACAGTATGGCCTTCAATGTCCAAAATATTCTATTCGCCTTATAAAAATTGTTTTCTGATTCCTGGGAAGACAGGTACACATGCGGATATGTGACATTATAGTTCTTGGGGAGCTATGAAACTTACAAGTGTCCACTGTTTGATGAACATGTGTCATCAGGGAATGACTATTGTTACATCGCATGAGCATGGAAACAAGGAAGAAAGGTGGAGAAGAAGGAGCAGGGAAGGAAGAAACCATTCACCTTTTCCTGAACTGCACATGGCCAGTCACAAGCACACCTATTCTGTTAATCTCCACCTGAATGGTCTTCATCGCACCAGATGCAAAAAGTGCCGAGAAGGACAGCAGAGACAGGCTGGGGGAAAGATGAGTTTCCAGAAATGGCAAGACACGCATGTTAACGATTGTGAGGTGGGAAGCTGGCTGCCCACGGGAGAAAAGCAGCTCCCAAGAGGCTTTTTAGAAGAATAGCACACAATATCAGGTCTTGCCCACAGGGGATTCCATACCTCCCTCAGGTTTGAGGAGCCAGGCTTCCTCCCAGCCCCCCCCCCCACCCGGTTCCTTCCAGTGAGAACAGCTCAGAAGTCCTGGGAGCATTCCCATGGGTCATTGTAGCCTTCATAAAGACACTCTGGGCTATAGTTAATCCCAGACACAATCTTGTAAAGCACTGAGTACCATTAGTCCCATGTGAGGTGAGGCCTTGTAAGGGTAAGTATTATCCAGACTTATCCCAAAGTCCACACTCAAATATACTTTGTGGGTTCACTTTATGCAACCTCAATAGAAAGCAACTTTGTCGCCTGACCAGTCACAGAAAGCCTTTGGAACATTCCAGAGTAGTTAAAAAATAAAAATTAAAAAAAAAAAAAAAAAAAAAAAAGCTCATTTCAGCCTCTGGACACCCAAGTCAGCCAATGGCAGGACATTCAAAGAGCTGGTTCCAATCCCCGTTAGGCAAGTTTACAGCACTGGTGAACAACCAACTTTGTTACTGTCTAGCTCTTACAGAGCCAGCTTTATTGTTTTATATGTGAAGAGAATTGAGAAAAGGGTCTGAACCCCAGCGTTAGGTAACATAGAAAGATGAAGAAGTATTTCATGCTGGCCAAAAGGGGTGTGTGTGGAGCAAGCAAGCAAGTAGCTGAGATATATTTGTGGCATTGGGAGGAGGGACTGTTCTGAGGAAAGCATGGCTGTGGATTTTAGGGCATGGAGACCTGTCGACACGGCTAATCTCCAAGAATGTGGGCTGAATGCACCCTCAACTGCCAAAGAAGTGCACTGTGGAAACTGTGTCAGCCTCCAGCAGGCCAATTTGTTCTCATATTACACACTCTGGTGGCTCTGCTGAGAGACCCCAAGTTAGGGATTCATATCATGCATCCCCCCACCCAGTGAGGGTTGACACAGCACGGTTGGTAAGTCAAGGGAATGCAGAAGCCACAGCCGGATTAAGAAGGCTGTTTTATTTTGGTGCCCTGGACTTCAAGCAGATTAAATAATCAAAAAGGCCGGGCCATTGGGGTCATGTTTGAATGCTACAGCTGTTCACCAAGGTCTGACCAACATTCTTTATGTGGCTTGCTGTCTGAATGGGAGAGGCAGAGAAGATCCCAGGGAGGCTAACACTTTGAGAGAAAAGACGACGGGACACAATCAAAAGATCCTCTAATGGAAAAGGACCACAGCAGACGGAGACAAGGGGACAGGCTGCTTAAATAAGTGACCTCTTGAATGCATCAACTGTTGTCTGCGGCGGAGAAAAGCCCCTGCTGGATTCAGGAAAAGTGAATGGAAAGCTGGGCTCCCAGGCTGACGGGCCCCGGGTGTGTTGATCTCTAAGCACACAGCAGGATACTTGTTGGATGAGGACTCCTACTCCAGAGACTGAGCCATGAAAGGTGAGCAGGAGTGAATTCCATTGCCCCTACCCCAGAAGTCCCCCAGTGAGAGAAAGAGGGATCTCTTCCAATAAGTGTCTGTGAGAAATCAATTTTCAACCTGTCTTTCTTAAAACATTGGACAGATGCAAAAAAATAACTCTCAGTAGGAAGATGTATGTCTCACCATGCTGAGCATGGAGGAAAGGGGCTGGAGACAAATGTGGTGAGGACATGCAGTGGGTTTGTCACGGTCATTTCGTAGACAACATGGTGCCTTGAGTTGGAGTTCCTATATTATTTCCTTTGGGGAAGTGGGACGCAAAGAATGAGGAACAAACTGGCTCCCATTTCAGGAAGATGCGCCTTTTACTAAGAGATAAGTGGACTTGGTGGGAAACATACCCCAGTATTTAAGAATTGATTTCCCTGCAATGAATTAGTACTTGTGGCCATGATGGCATCAGGCTAATTCTAATGGAAAGACACTCAAGACACTAAACAGTCAGTAGAGGGCTGCTCCATCAGCAGTGGTGTGAAGCCAGTGCCCTCTCCAGAGCTGTGGGGACCCGAGAAGTTATTTAGATTCTGAATAACCATAGAAAGAAGAACAAGGGCTGTAGTTTTCTGCTTGGAGGAGGAAGAGGGGACTGCAGGGTTCTATGTCTTTTGAACTAAATCAAAGCTCCTTATTTGCCCCCTATAGGCCTGGGCACCAGCAGCCAGGGACAGGATCCAAAGAAGGGAGATCAGGGTCCAGTATATTTAACAGTCATGCTGTATTGCCCCTTAGGTGAGGCACAAACCAGAACAACAAAAAATAACTTTCTCTTGAAAGCCTTCACATTGACAACCATTTTCAGTTTTGAATAGCGTTCCCTGGCCTTGACAATGCCTCTACATTTCAACCAAGCACCCCTGATGGCTGTTTGTCATACTTAGAAATTCAAATCCTAAGAGATAAAAAGGGAGGGAAAGGGGGAACTTTGAAGAATGATCACGAAGTCTTTGAAGAAAATAACAATTCTCTGAGCCTTACCATGAGACCCACTCTGGATTCTGGGAGCCCTCACCCATTCCTACATTCCTACATGGCTGCAGAGTGCCGGGCAGGGGATATTTTACAGCATTGTTTGTGGTAAAGTGAGAAGGGAACCCTGGCGTCTCAAATGCTCCTAAGTGAAGGATGGGTGGATACTGAGTTTGACATGGTCACACATACTAAACAGAGTAGATTTCACAGTGTGATGAACTTGTAATTATACCTATGTGGATTTGAAAACGAAACAAATAGTATAGCATTGTGCAAATCCCTCCCCAATTCCTTCTCTCTCTCTCTCTCTCTCTCTCTCTCTCTTGTATTTGTCAGAGGAGTATGGCAGATAAGAATTCTTGGATTCAGTCTGGGTTCAAATCATGTTCTCTTGTTTACTGTTTCTGTGATCCTGGGGAATGATTTGGCCTCTCTATGCCTCTCTCTTTGTTTCCTTTAAAACGCTGAAGACAAACAACCATGTTGACAAGGTCATTAGGGTGGATTCATATCTATAAAGCAATAGGAGTAATCCCTGACCAGCAATGCATGCCATCTGGTCATTTGCTATCATCATCATTATCTACTGCATTTTACAAAGCTCAGTGTAGCACCTTTCTATTTCAGAGGTCTCTAGCAATTACAGAAATAAAACTCAGAAGGAATACCTAATAGTTTCATTCCAACCCATGCCAAAGACAAGCTCTCAATACTTCAAACTCTGGAAATGTTGGGTCTTGAAGTAAGTAAAGGAAATTTGAGTGTATGATGGCACCTTTACCATGTGTGGAGTTGCCTCCACAGTAGAGAACTTGATGAACAAGCATAAAACTCCAGCTTTAGTCTTCAGATTCAGGGGGGAAAAATCCTGAGGTATCTCCAAAGATCTCAAAAGCACATTCAGTAATACGCTATACGCCCATATCAACTCAGGCTGGAATAGTTGGGAACATTTCAGCTCTGGTGTCATTTATTCAATAGCATTAAGAAGGCAGGAGCTGCGCTCAGCTGGCAGTGCTTGCCTTGCCTCGCATGCCCCAAGCTCTGTGTGTAATCCCCAGCACCACAAAATCTTAGTACGGTGGCACACACCTGTAATCCCAGTGCAGTAACTATTTTTTGAACATGTCTGAGGACATAAACCAGGTGAGTCTGTGAAGGGGCTTCTGTGAAGAGAGCAGAGCTGATCAGAAGAAGGTTGCTGGCCTCAGCAATGAGATGCTAGAAGTCTGACAACTGATGGGTGGCTGGCACAAGTTTCAGAAATAAGGATGCTTATCATATTATTTCTAGTGCTTTTTGGCAATTTAAAAAACTATCATATAAAAAAGAAACAAGACAATCATCACAGATGGGGTTATACCTGCAAAGACAGAGAGTCATTTGTAAGGCATTCCCTAGTCAATGTGGTCACCTGAAGCCACATCTGATAAGATGTGTAAATGAGTTAAGATCAAGTAAAATTAAGGCTGTTCTTTGGTTGCAGCAGTAACGTTTTAGGAATTCAGTAACTACAGGTGGCTAGTGACATCTATGTCGGTTAGGGGGCAGATAGAGAACATTTCTACCATCATACTACCATCGATTGGCCCTCCTTCGGAGCATTCCTTTCAGAAATACGAATATAAGCTCCTCTTTTACCTTTCTACCTGTCACAGCCCACATATTACACGGTCTGATGATCGTGTCCCAGGAGAAGTCCCTTCTCCGAGGCTGCTGAAAATGGCTAGCTCAGAGCTTGCTGCCGTGACTGGCCTGGGTGTACTCATGACAGTCTGAGTGAGGAATCCTGCTAACGTGAGGAGTAGGAGTCCCTGTCTGGGTGGGGGAAGGCACTACTGTCGCAGGGCCACAGCTGCCTGTGAATTTCCTGGCTGAAGGTGACCTTTTCTCATACACTGGCCTCCATCCCATCCTCTCCTCTTCGTTTTAGGTGCTCTGCTGTTGCTTTCCAGTGTGAGTATTCTGTTCCCAGGTGTGGGCAGCTGCCCCAAGAAATGCTCGTGTCACCTACCTTCAAACTCTGTGGACTGTAGTGGCCAGGGGCTGTCGGAGATCCCTCCTGATCTACCACCATGGACACTGACTCTGCTTTTACAAGATAACCAGATCCACTGGCTTCCTGCTTTTGCATTTAGGTCTGTGTCTCTGCTCACCACATTAAATTTATCTAACAACTCTCTTTCAAATCTGGCTTCAGAGGCTTTCTATGGACTTCAGCATTTGCAGATTTTAAACCTAACCCAAAATTCCCTGCTTTCCCTTGAAAGCAGCTTTGCCCATTCCCTGCCTGGGCTCAGGGAGCTGGATCTGTCATCCAACAACCTCAGTCTCCTCCCCACATCCCTGGGAAAGCCTTGGGAGAACCTGACCACGTTTGCCGTGCAGCAGAACCATCTTCTGCATCTGGACCGTGCACTTCTAGAGGCCATGCCCAAAGTGAGGCTGGTCCTCCTTAAGGACAACCCCTGGAAATGTGACTGCCACTTGCTGGGTCTGAAACACTGGCTGGAGAGATTTACCTTTGAAGGTCAGTAGTGTGTCTTTGGAATGCCTTTCTGTGTGTTACCAGCCTGAGGTGAAGCTCTTTCACCTTTGGCATCTCATGTTGGTGGAGGAGGGTACAAGGGGAAGCTGTAGGCTTTTGCATATCTTCACATGGATGTCACATCAACTTCAGGATGTGGCAAAGGAGTGGGTGTCTGTTGGAGTTGGGAGGAAGTTTTCATTTGGGTGTTTATGTTCATTATAGTGTACAGGCAGATGACGTGGACTTCGAGCTGGGACTCACGCACCAAAGCATCCTCAGCTTTAATTTCCAAGTGTGGTCTGGTTGGGATGTGGCTCTCACTCCTTAGTCCAGCTTCCCTCTCTTTCCAATTCTATCCAGTGATGGTTATAAATCTTATTAAATAATGAAATTGGGTCCAGAAGGCCCCCTCTCTAAAGTTACTATTTCTGTAACCAGAAATGCAAATATAAGTGAAAGAGCCCAGAATATTACAGAGAACAAACTTTGGAACTCATTAATGGGTTAATAAACTATCAATTAAGGGCCAGACTCTACCTGTTTTTTCTTCTGTTATAAATAAAGCTTTATTTAAACACAGCCACACCATTTCATTATGCACTGTGTGGCCATTTTACATTAAAGGACAAGGTGGAGCAGTTGTGACAAGGACCATAGAGTACAGCTTACTGCTTTTGCTCTCTAAACCTGGAGGAAAAGGCTTGACAATTTCTGTTGTCAATGGGAAAGAGAAGCCCAGAGAAGTTCAATGACTGGCCTAAGCTAGCAACTATCATTCATTCATTCCTCTGTCTGAATGCCTTTGATGTATCAGGCACTCCTCTAGACCTAGGGGGAAAGGCAGTGAATAAGAAACACTTATCATTGTGGCAGTTATGCTGGGAGGGTTAAACGTAGACAGTATATAAGACAGTAAATAAAGGTTGGGGTCCAGATGGCAGTGCTAAGACAGTGAGGCGGGCAAATAGGAAACTGAGGGGAATGTGCCCAAGCTTAGACAGGATGGGAAAGAGAAGCCTCCCAAGAAACTGACATGTGGAAGAACCAGAACCACAAAAAGAAGGAACAGAAGGGAACAGAGGAGTTAGGGCTCAGCAGGCCCTGAGGGTCTGGTGAAGGAGGAGCCTGGCTTAGTGAAAGACAGAGGAGGGAGGGAGTCAGTGGGGGGAGATAGCGCACAGCACATCTTGGGTGCCTGCCCGGTCCCTAAACATGTGCAGAGCAGGTGCCCTGTCTGGATTTTATTCTAAGGGAGGTGGGAAGTTCTGAGGAATTCTCATCTAGAGAACAGTATGATCTGACCACTGTGTAAAATGCCAGTCTGCTGAGTCTGGGAAGGCAGAGCAAAGGCTATTGAAGGAGAGCCAGAGGGAGGAAGGGAGAAGCGATGTCAGAGGAGCAGAGAAGAGAGGAAGTGGCCATCTCTAACAAGTGATTGGCATTTGGAACAGTGAAGTGGCAGGAATGGCTGAGGGATTGAAGAGGGTGATGGACTGGGAGAAGAAGAGAGCAATTATGGGAGATTCTTTTGTAATTTATTCTGCTTGGCAACTGCATAAACGGTGATGATTTTAGCAGATAGGGAATGGGCTAGTGGAAGAGTCTGGAGGGATGCTCAGTGGAAGATTCAGAAGGGGGACATGTTTGAACACTTGCCACATTTCAGGGTTGGGGTATTGTTGGTGATTGTATGCTTGAGCTGATTGCTGAGGAAGACCCGAGAACTACAGACAGATGAGTTAGGGAAAAGACAGCATCTGGAGGCATGGTCTACATACAATAGGAGCTCAAACTTGCCACATCAAGTGTGGAAGGTCCTCAGTAGTCTAAAAGCAATCAATGCATTGCCAACTAACTGACATGACATTAGCCCACAAAGGCAACTGTATAACTTGGTAACATCCTTCTGATAGGTCAAAACAAAAATAAACAGGTCTGGAGATGAGGTGGCTAGAGCCAGTGCATTCTGGATCAAATCACCATCATAAAACTGACCATCCCAGAAAGAGAGTTTCTGTCAAAGAAGAACATTTTCCAACATAAAAACAAGATGTAGTTTCCAGACCTCTGAAGTAATGCAGGCAAGGATGGTGTTTTCCTATTCAGCCACCAACTGGGGCCAATGAATGGCTCTGTCTAGCACTCAGGGCTACCAAGTGGAAGCCGACAGTACCTGGGCTCATTTTGGTCTCTTGGTCCAGCAGTGAGGTTTATCTTCCTTTATGGCAATGCTTGTCAAGCACACAGAGTGGCCTTCTCCAGAGGAAGGTCGCATCAGTTCAGGGTATCATGATCTGGTACCCCAGCATAAAGAGAGGAAAAATACTAACTAGATGCAAAACATGAGAGAAAGTCTGGTTATGCGGTATGCTGCAAAGGGAACAGATGCTCCTCTGAGCCTTCATAAAGAAGGGAGGACACTGAGGGGATTAGTCAAAGTTGGGTGATTGAAATTATAAACCATCCAACTTCAGTCATCTGTGCTGAAGTCTATCGCTTACTCTTACCAGAGTCCAGGGGAACTGGGAGTCCAATTGGGAATTGGAATTTTGTCCCCATATAACCATTTGGGACAAAAGCCTCCTCTGGATGGTGATGCCATTAACTTCATCACATTACATCTAAGGTCACCAACCAACACAGCACACAGAGGAACATCTTGGGGATTTTGCATCCTGGAAGCAACTTTCTTGCTTCCACTGGGTAAACAAGTGGAATAGCTTCAAAATGAAACCCAAAAGAAATTGGGAATTGTATCCAGTAGGCCAAAGAACAAAATGATTTCCTTTGGTTAATGTAGAATAGAATCCCCTTGACCCAACTGTGCACCCAGGATGAAAAAGGATCATCCTCTACACACATGTGAATCCATCCTTTCACACTCATGGATAAGTGTGAAATAGATAGTCTGAGCAAGGACTCCATCCGAGTGAATTTCATTATAATTGCTCTCCCACTCTCCAAGAATGCAAGAAGAAGCTCAGAGTAGGTAAGGAACTTTCCACAACTTCACAGCTAAGTTATATAAAGATCTAAGATTTGAACCCACAGAGGTGAAATGCTATGGGAGTTGGGGACAGTGCTCTGCCAACTTTCCAAAATCAAAAAGGGAGAGGGACCCTCAGGCTGCAACCAGCAGACTTACCTCTGGGGTCATGGTCCTTGAGATGGGTGGAGGTGGGAAGAAGATCCTGGCCGAGGACGCAACACACAGGAGGCTACTGAGAGTGCCAGACACGGGCTCTGACTTCCGGCCATGTCCAGACATTCATGTTAGGCCTGTCCTTTGCTATGAGTCTCAAAGCTATGAATTTTAGCACAAGACTAGAGTAGAAAGTGGATCTAGAGCAAGGATGAACCTGGAGTGCATACGTAACATGCTGTAGCCCAGGGGAACAGTGGCCAGTGAGGCGGTCTCGCAGAGCAGTCTGGGTTCTTGTGGAAGTGTACCTGTGTTTTGGTTGGATTAACTGCCTTTGTTACCCCTGTTTTTCTATCTCTTTGGCCTTCTGCCTTGACATTTAGGCCCTAGGAAGAGCAACCGTAGCCAGGTGCGAGGGGAGGTAAGATCCCACGGAGGCAGAGCCCCTCATCTCAGCCCACCTGGGTGAGGTCAGGGCTCAGCTGGAACAGCCACCTGGCCCCTCTAGCTTCATGAACACCAGCGGCTCAGGAAACTCCTCCTTGATCTTTCTGCTTTAAAGCCAGAATTCATGCCTCAAGGGCTTGTTGAAGAAGTCAGCAGGGGCCCAAGAGAGTCCAGCTGCGTGTCATTCAGTTTTAAGCAATAGCAGCAAAAAAGAGTATATGTTGAATTTTGTCATAGTCACCAACCCTGGCATTTCTGGGGCATGTGACAGTTTTTTTTATGGTGAAGTGGCCCTGTCTATTTTTAGGGCACTTATGACTTGTCTTATGATTATTAGATAGGAAAGATGGGCAAACATCTCCCAAGCACTAAATTACTATATAGTAGCATGTGACAATTAACACTGAAAGGACAACCACCATATGTGCTTTCCTGGTATTAATTTAAATTTTTTCCCATGATGTACACTGAATATCTGCAATATTAAATTGCTAAGGGAGCATGCCACCCTCCCATGATGAGGTTTTTAGGACATTTTAAGAGAAACAAGCCATAGGTCCTATGGGTCCTGCCAGTCAAGTAGGCTTTTCTGCAGCTACCTTGGTCCCAGGACAAACCAGAGAGAAAGAAGTGAAGAGAAGGGAGTGTACTGGAAACCTGGGTTTAGGTGTTGATGCCTATATATTCATGCCCTGTATGGATTAAAAAAAAAATTCCCTATGAGAGCTGGGGGTGAGGACTTTGAACTGCTAAGGAAGACATAACTGGGATGTTCTTATGGCAGAAAACTTTAAGAAGTTGATTCCCACAGAATCAAATAGTGTCCCAGTGGTTATACAGGCTAGGGTGAGGCGGCAGCATCTGGCAACTCCAGGGGAAGATATGCAACTACCATAGACACCCCAGGGAGTGAGTTACCTCACAGAGACGCAAACCCACATTTAGTAACTCCTTGAAGCATTTGGTACTCAAAGTAGTAAATGTCAGGAGGCCCAAGAACATGATTTACTTAAATACCAAGAATGACATATGGTATTGCCAAATGCTCATATATATAAACCCCAGAAAATGCCACTCTGCCTCTCTATTTGACCTCAACTAAAGAGTGTTAGTAGAGACATAGGGTCTTTGAAATTAACATACAAATCACAACAATGAATATTTGTTTTGCTTTCTTTGAGTTCCAGGGAGAATCTGGCAGGAAAGTTTTCTTATGGGGTGGGAAGTGGGAGGGAAGAATGCTGGAGACCACAATGCCCTTGGATGTTGGGCCCTGCATTCCCTGTCAGCATGTGCCCAGCAGTGGTCCTGTAGCTTCTAAATAAAATTAAGGTAACTTGGTTTTTAATAAACTGTTAGCCATAAGTAATTGTCTATTTAGTCTGTGGCAGGCTATAATAGCAGAATGCTATTATAGCAAAGCTCTATCTTCGTTCTTCATTTTGTTTCTTTAAGGGGGAGTAACAGATGGTGCCACCTGCAGACTGCCGGAACCCTGGAAGGGTAAGGATCTCCTCTCCATTCCCCATGAGCTATACCAGCCCTGTCCTCATCCTACTCCAGATCTGGTACCCTCAACAGTTCAGCAGCCTGGTTCTGCTCCTCAAGAGGCCCAGAAGACCCCTGAGAGTAACTCAGAACATCAAGATCCCTTTGAGTGTGAGACCAAACCCAAACCAAAGCCAACCAACCTGCGCCATGCTGTGGCCACTGTGGTCATTACTGGTGTAGTATGTGGGATCGTATGTCTCATGATGTTGGCCGCTGCTATCTATGGATGTACCTATGCAGCTATCACTGCCCAGTACCAGGGAAGACCCTTGGCACCAACCAGTGAGACTGAGAAGATGGGAAGCAAGAAGGCAATGGACAGTTCACCAGTCTGAGGGCCTTCATGTCTAAATCCTCCTAGACCACTGAGGGCCAGAAGAAATGTCTGAGTGGGCCTGATGTGTTCACTGCTCCTGTCCCATGTTTTGCCTTCCAATACAACAAAGAAAAAAATATGTATCCAAAAATAAGTACCCAATGGGAAAAAATTGATGTTGTGGCTTTTCAATACCATATATAAAATAGATATCCTCATATCTTGCAACTGAGAAATTATGACGATGAGTCAATGTCAGGGAACACAAAGGAGGGAGAGGCTATGACTTTTAAGTCCCTTTCTCTGGATTAAGCTGCTTCTACAGAACAACAAGAATTCTGACATGTGTGCCAACAGGCATTCTTAGGAGCTTTGGGCCCATCAGTTGGAGCGCCGGGGAACAGGCTGGTGCTCTTCTCAGAGTGGTACTGGAGGCCTCTATAATTCAAGTTCATGCTAGATTGGTGGGACTTTTAGATGCTGTGTATGTTACATATTTAGTGGAAATGTCTGTTGGTTGGGAATTTCATAGCTCGCCGCAAGAGTCAGATTATATTTAATTTTCTAAATCAGAAAGCCATCTGAAGCTTTCTAAGCTGCAGGAGAAGACAGAGGTTCCATGCCTGGATAATGGGACTCAGGCCTGGAGCCTGGACATGGTTTTGATGTGAAGGAACACAGAGAGAACAGTGAACTAGAATACAGGGAAGATATCACCAAAAGGCCATCTCCACCAACCAACTGGAACTTTACCATGGAACTCTCACAGCAGGGATGAATTTAAGTCAGGCTGAATGGTGGTTGTGTCTCTGCCTGTGCATGCACAGTGCACAGAGGGCAAGGATTTGTACAGCTACACCCACACATAAACACCCTCGGAGCAATCAGCTTACCCACTAATGAGATGCAGCCGTGTCGGGTGGGAGCCAGTAGCTGTTGATCACCACCCAGATTGTATGCCCGACACTCTGGGATAGGAAGTAAGAAGGAAGCTTGAGGGGGAGTCGGAGTTCCTGGGGGGACTGGAGGCCCTTAGGGGCAGACATGCTGGCTGGTGCTGAAGCATGGCTTTACAAAGTTCAGGTATGGCTTGCTAAGTCCCCAGACTTGATCCGGGAGAGTTGCACGCAAAGTAAATTTTTGTAAATTGAATCATCATTTTAATGCAGCAGGGGAGCTCGCTATTTAAAGGAACCTTTCATGGAATCTTTTCTGTAATGGGAATAATTGGCTCCAGATTGATGCATTTTTTTTCAAATTTGCATTTCTATGTTGGGTTTCTTAAAGTGGAATATACCTATACCTACTCTTTCTGTTTATACTACAGGCACTTTTTAAGATTATAACCATTTTGCAAAAGAAAAGAGCACAGAGGAGTTAAAGATACGTGAAACGCAGAAAATGACAAATATGGAATAAGCTGTTCCTCTAGAGCCCATGACAGACATTGCTAATCAATCCCAGCACTCTTCCCAGCTGAGCCTCAAATACACCACAGATGGTTTCTTAAGACAGCACTATAGGCAACCAGAACTAATCAATTGGAGTTGGTTCAAAGGATAAAGCACATTTGCCATTCAGGGTACTGGCTCCACTTCACCCCTCAAGGCCATGTAAAAATTGGTTTGGATCCCCAGTCACTAGTCTGCTCCTAACCTGGAATACAAAGGGAACATGCACATGTTGGGATGGACAGTTGTCTAGTGTGCTATAAGCGATGTAAACCTTGACATAAGTAGGCTAAGGGTAGATTGTCTTTTTGGAGTATCAATTTAGCTAGATAATTTTCTAGGCAGAAATTCAAATGTGAATAGCTAACACTTTTCCAAATATCAAAATAAGAGTGGGTACATAAAATTATAAGTTAAAAAGCAATATATATATATATATACATATATATATATATATATGTATATATATACACACATGAATGGAAAGTCAGTGAAATCCCTTAGTGTGTGCAATTAATACCTATTAATAATAGGGATGTGAAAAAGAATAGAATGAAAAGCCAGGCAAGGCCAAGGCTGCATGGACTGTCAGCTGCCATGATGGCACCTCTGCTCTATTATGTTAAGGTAGCTTAGATCAACTGTGTGGCTGAGTTTCTATTCTCAGGATGCAGCAACTACTTTCAAGTTGAAAGGAGCATTTCTTTTCATGGTCCTAACTGTGACTTTTTTTTTTTTTTTGGCCAAGAATGTAACGCGAGAGGAAATTGAGAAGATTCCTTTACTCCTCCCCTCAATTTGACCAAATGTTTTCCAAGTGCACACCGTTAGCAGGCATGGCACAACTGTTCTCCTGAGCGTTCCACATAGAATTCTGGCACTTGCCCCATGGATTCTTGAGCAGCTATCACATACCCCAAGGACTCCCAGGGCCACCAGCACGTGGCTCCTCTAAGAAGTGATTTAAGATTGCAAGTGTACTGTGCCCTGCCAACGGTCTGGTGATGCTGCAGGTCAGTCTTGTGCTCTCCCCTTAGAGATCACATAAGAGTGCCCAGTACACTGCACAAACCACGAATGTGGCTCAAACCCTCGCTTCTCAACAGCCCGACCCTATTAGATGTCAAAGTGATGATGATAACCTATGTAAAAGGCTTCTAGCTTAACAGGTCGTCTTTAAGCAAAGGGATTTAATGATACATAATGCACACTCAGATTTCTATCATTTGTCCACAGTCACCACACACAGCAATTGGCAATGAAAATAATTACTCACTCTGAAATGTCAACAGCTTCTCAGAACAGAAAAATATAAATCAAGTTGTTTAGAGGAACAAATGGAGAGTTATCATTTGTTAATATGAGAAATAAAATGTTTTAATTGCAAAATGCACAGCAGATGAAAGACCCAGTTTTCAGGGTATTCTGCAAGAACCACAAATTCTCTTTCACAAGCAGCTCATGAGGGGCAATTCACAAACACCTCACATATTATTTTCAGCTGCTCATTACTGCCATCTATTCATAGATTCCCCTGTAAGAATGTTCTTCCATCGTGGTGCCAGGCCTGAGAAGATGTTAAGGCCAAAAATCCCGTTTACTGTTGATTGTTTCAGAGAAAGTCATCTGAAATGTCACGCTTTCATTAAAGGTAGTGTAACACTGTGATGACAGGCAGATGGCTTTTGCTTGGGCAGGGATCTGAGGTCACAGCCGCTGCAGAGAAGCAAGCAGGCAAAGGGCATGAAAAATATGCAATGATGAGGCACTTTGTGAGGACTGAGATCTGCTGTCAAACCAGAAAAGCTTACAGGCAAGGCAGGTACCTCAAACTCTTCGGAAAGAATCTTGTGCTTAAGATAATAAAATGCCAGGGGATAAGGGAGTTATCTCATTTTGCCTGACAAAAATAGAGAGCTGAAAAAAGAGCCACGCCCAGACTTCCAAACAAAAGCTCCAGGAAATCAAGTCCTATTGCTGAAGTTCACTAAGAACTATTGAATACAGAACTGTTTGTCTCATACTCTAAATACTGAAAGGAGTGGCTAAATTGGTTTCCAGTTTAGTCTCTCTTTACCTCATATTCATAGTTATACAGCAGCCATTTGAAATCTGCAACTTCCTATGCAGTTCAGGAAATCACTGTGTCCAGTGTGGCAAACACCGCTCAGTTAATCCACTAAATGCTACTCTCAGAAACCTACAAGACAAGACCCTCCAACCTACAAGGCAACCCTGAGCTGGATTAAATACAGATCTTCAGGGGACCATCCGGTTTTCCCTATTGATGGAAAATTTTTTCATTTTTTAACACTCAAATTGCAATGAGGTCTCAAAGAAATCTTTGTCTCACTCAGAGACAGCTTTATAGCTTACTGACCTGCTTTCAGATTCTTGACTGTCTGCATTTATTTCCATTCCAAAGACACTGAATGTTCAGAATGGACATTCTGTGGACAGGCTGTCACTCACAGCCTCATGGGCCCATTAAGAAGACCCAGAAAATTAATCAAGGGAGCCAGGCAAGGCCCGGAAGAACAGTATGTCTAGACCTGGAAATTTCCAGAACAGTTGTCATTGGCCACCTTGGCTATCATGGGCATTGCTAGCATATCACAGCAAACTTAGCAGCTGATTCCAGACCAGGTCTCAGAATCCTTTCAAATCTGTTTCCAGGTTGTTGCTTTGATGTGGTTCAGTGCCTTCATTTTACAGAGAGAAACAGGAAGCATGAAAAACAAAAAAAGCTTTCCAAAAGTCACACACATAGTTCATTGCATACCCTATAAACCCAGTTGCAGAAGCATGCAGTTAGCGTGAATAACACAAGTACCCCGTTACTCTATGTTCATTGTGCAGTCATCCACGATACCTAGACTATGACATCATTGTACGAATCAGTTAGATAAAGGCAATTGTAACACCACCACCATTCACTGAGCATCGTGCTGGCTAGTTTTATGTTAGCTTGATACAAACTGGAGTCATTTGGGAAGAGGGACCCTCAATTGAGAAAATGGCCCAATTAGGATTGGCCTGTAGGCATTTCCTTAATTGATGACTAATGTGGAAAACCCTAGCTCACAGTGGGTGGTGCCAGCCTTGGGAAGGTGGTCTTGGGTTTTATAAAGAGAAAGCCATTGCAGGAGAAGCCAGTAAGCAGAGTTCTTCCACCATGGCTTCTGCGTCAGCTCCTGCCTTTAGGGCTTTGCCTTGAGGTCCTGTCCTGACTTCCTTCCATGACAAACTATGATGTGGAACTGTGAGCTAAAATTAACCCTTTACTTCCCAAGCTGCTTTTGGTCATGGTGTTTTATCACAACACTAGAAGCCTAACCAAGACCAACACTCACTTTGGTGGTGTTGGTCTAAGCACACTAATTTTCTATTTGCCTTATAATGAAAATCATGAGTATTTAGTGTTACATAGCACAGGAGCCCAGAAAGCAAATATCCTAAGGTTATCCCACTAGTAAATGATAGAATAGAAATGGAAACACAAGTTATACTGGCTAGTTTTAAGCTAGAGTTATCTGAAAGGAGGGGATCTCAAATGAGAAAATGCAAC